CAAGTTCCCTGGTGGCGCGCGACGCTGTGCACCTTGACCTGCCCACCCACGCGGTTCCGAGGAAGTCCCGGGCCCCGGAGCCTGAGGGAGCAGTCGGATCGCCCAGGCCTTGCATCCCCCGCAGCTGGTCGGATGGCGTCAGGGCCGCCTGGGCCCGGGGATCCAGTGTGTGCCCTGGTGGGAAGGAAGAGTCCAGGATGCACACGACCACGCCCGATGAGATAGTGAGAGGACCTGCGTCCTCGGGTGGTTGTGAGAGCACCTTAGTTCATTTGGCTGTTGTTTGTTTGGCAGCTGTTCGGAATGCTCTTCGCACAAGTGTCAGTGGCAAAATATAGAAAATTTAGGGGAAGTGTCAGTTTCCTTCCCTTAAATAAATTATGGTTTTAGGTAGGGGAGTGTGTATAGCCGGGTAATAGACATGGACACGCTCCCATGAAGCTTGGAGACCTTTTATTAAGAAGAAAAAAGTTAGTTTAAAACGATGACTATATATAGATATAGTCTTGTGTTTATAGAAAAGAGCTTGATGTGTATTGTGTGTAAATTGGGTAGCAGGACGAACATCAAATTGCTAATGATTATGAGTACCTCAGGATGGAAACACGAGAGTCTGCTGAACTAGGGAGAGAAGTAAAAAAAAAAAGTTTGAACTTTTATAATAGCTTTTCTGTATTACTTGCATAAAGAAACTTTAGAAAACGCAGAAACCAGGCTCTCCTGGCTTTCTTCACCCTGGGTCACTTTGCTTGCTCTGGGGTGTTCTTTTGTTGCTTTTTCTCTTTCGCTTGGCCTAAGCTTGCTCTACAAAGCCGGTTTCTCCCTCACTCTTCACTTTTACCTTTTCAAGTAAATGCTACTGCTTTTTGCAAAACAAAGAACAGTCTACCATCAGGTTTATATGCCTGCAGTCCTATGTACGTGTTTTGGGGGGATAAAATGAGGGTCACTTTGCAAGTACATTTTATATGCTTTTTTATCAGTTACTATCATTGATTCCAAATATACAGATAAATTAATATTTTTAGAGTAAACTATTCCAATTTAATCCAAAAATGTAAGAGGCCCTGATGCTCGATTGCTTTCCCACCACAACACAACCACAATTGTTTGAAAAGAAGGAAAACGGGTGCAAGCACAAAGAGCCAAAACCCAGGCGATTCAAGGAATCTGATGCTTCAGGAGCCTAAAAATGTAACATCATGATTGCTTAGTAATGAGAACTAAATAAGGGCAGGCGGGGAGACAACAAGACATTATTAATAGGCTAAGCCCCTTAGACTCTAGCAGAGAGTAGAGTAGCAACAAAATAACAAGGTTCACTAGAAACATCACAGGAGAGACCTTCCATATGAATTTGTTAAAATGAATTAAGATGGGGAGGGAGAAAACAGAGGACCCTTAAGTTCAGAAGAGATGGAAAAACAAGAGCATGTATTCAAAAAGACTCCCAAGAACATCCAGGTGGCTAATTCTACTTGTCAACTTGGCTGGGCCACAGTAGCCAGATATTTCCCCAAACGGCCCCTCCAGATTGTTTGTGGAGGCATTTTATAATCAGTAGACTTTTGTGTGGAGCAGGTTCCCCTCCATTCTCCGCTTGGCCTTCATGCCTCAGTTGGAAGCCTCCATTGACAGGATGAGCCTCCCCCAGCAGAGAGGAAATTCGTCTACTTGGGGAGCCTCAGGCTGCCAGTCCACTCTATAGACTTTGAACTTGGAAGCCTCCCTGAAGGTGTGAACCAACTCCTCAAAGATCCCCTCCCCGCATCAGGGTGTTCAGAGAAGGCATCCGGAGAGGATTACAATTGAGCCAATTTTTTAAGACTGTTAGGAAGGTAAACTAAAAAGTAACCCGCATGTGGGAGTAGTGATTGTGAAAGAAAAAGGCAAAAAACAAGATGCAGGTTTAGGTTGGCATCTCTCCTTGAATGATAGCCAGCTGAGGTGGCCCCTGAGCTGTGGGAGTCCATCATGAGCTTGCTCATCTCCTCTCTTACTGGGTCATCCCAAACCATCTGTAAAGACTGAAGATTGTAAAAGCTAGAAAAAGGACCAGGAGATCAGCTCACTAAAGAAAAGATACTAGCCCTAAGGGGATTTTAGAAAACAGCACAATACATATGCACTTATGAGCAAAGTTTAAATCATAAATGTTAGTGTCAGGGTTATTTGCACAAACTGTCTTTGCTACTGAGAAAACTGAGGACAGTGCCAAGAGCTCCTCTGGGTTTGTGTAGCTCAGTTACACAGAGAGAAGCGAACCTGGAACTGTGGTCCCCCAGCCGGGACTTCCCCTCCACATACTGCCACGTTGAAAAAATGCGAAATAATTTGTGGACAAAATGTTGATTCCATTAAAGATGTGAAACCCGATTTTTAAACTTCTATGCCCACCCAAAGAGACGTAAACCTCTGCTTGATGACCATGTAAAAGTAGTATTTATAGATATGCACTGCAATTTAATAAGCAGGTAATAATCAAATGAAAGGCACTGCATGGAGAGGTGCAGAAGAGTTAAGTAGGTATAAAGTGGTTTTTGAGAAGCTAGGAGTAGCTATTGCCCTTCTAGGCAGAACAGAAAGACCTGGGGGAAATCCAGTTTGCTGCCCTCCCACGCTTCCCCAGGGCAGTAGCTTGATTCAGTATGTCAAGGCTTCCCAATCTTGGGTATAAAGTTTGAAGTCTTCAGCACACTTCCTAATTGATGGTCTCTGCTCTCTCTCTCCTGGTGTTGCTGGGATTTCCCACACAGAGAAGCTCAGGGGGCTCCCACTGACCTTGAGCTCCACCTCTGGCTGGGGACAGACCTTGGGTGCTCCAGCCCACAGACCTAAACCAAGGGACTTCCCTGGGCTCTCAAGGAATGAAAAAATAACATCCAGGAAATGAAAAGTACTCCTCCAGCCAAATAATGTAGCGAGCCTCAGAGTTATTCTCTTCCCACAGTCCCTCCATTGGAGTCAGCTTGGGCTAGCTAACCTATGTGAATCAGTCTCATTTGTTTCCAGAAGAGTCCTGGGGACAAGGGGCAAAAAATAGAACTAAAGGACACTTAGTTGATCTTGCTTTCCCAGTCAACTCTTCTCCCTCGGAGGTGTCAGTCCCTATCCTGTGGTCTCTGCTACACCTTCCCAAAATTGCTCTTTGCAGAGAGTCCCAGAAGCTTAGAGTGGTCTCCACACACAGAACAATCAGTGATGGGCAATAGCAGGAGGTTTAGGCAGGTTTCCCAGTTTTGTCCGGACCACAGGAGGAGTCACTCAGCTTGCCCCCTGTGTCCGCGGAGAATTCGGCTCAGGGCTCAGGAGATAAAGCAGGCAGAGAAGTTTCTCTGCTCTAGTGGGTTCCTTCTGCTGTGGTAGTTGTAAGCATGGGGGCCCTTCAACAGAGCTTTCAAATGGTCAGTTTCTTTCTCATAGTCAAGCAGTTGCCAGATGTGTCCATGTGTAGAGACTAGAGTAACTCCATTTTAAGACAGAAAGCCATCTCATGTAAGATGTGACTCCTAGGTGAACTCAAGCAGGAATTTGCTTAGTTGAGATAAAGGCAAGGCCGATTGGCTGGGAAGGGGAACCATAAAACTTGTAGAGAAGAAGAGACAGGAGGTTCTGTATAGATAAGAAAAGCCCACCACATTCCTGAACACACTGACCTCTCCCTGAACTAGCCCCCTGCCCAGCCTGAAATAGTTTTCTTCCCACTTTTACAAGTGCCTTAGCAACACCCAATAGAAATAAGAAGTAGAGGATCGCACCAATAAGAAAGAGAGGATTTCAAGGACCCCAAACTCTATAAAATTATGCCTTAGAAGGGTGTCAGGACTCTCGTTTCTGATCTGCTTAGTCGGTTGAGGTAGGGGGGTCCAGGCTTGAGCTTGCAATAAACTCCTCATGCACTTACATTGGACTCGACTCCTTGGTGGTCTTTGGGGACTTCGCAATCTGGGCACAACACATGCAAGTTATGCTTTAAATGCTGCCCTTTTTAGGAAGCATTAGAAAAAGGGAAATTCCCTTTTCCATTAAAGTTCTGCAATTTCTCTTTAATTCGATGAACAGAATTAAATTCTCCTTGAACTACAGATCAATCTCCTTAATGAATATAGATGCAAAAATCCTTAATAAGATACTAGCAAACAGAATACAGAGGATTATTAAGAAGATCATCCATCCTGACCAAGTCGGATTTATTCCAGAGATGCAAGGGTGGTTCAACATACGAAAGTCAATAAATGTAATACATTATATTAACAAAGTCAAGGACAAAAACCATATGATCCTCTCAATAGATGCAGAAAAAGCATTTAATAAAATTCAACACCCATTCATGATAAAAACCCTGCAAAAAATTGGAATAGATGGTCTATACCTCAATTTAATAAAGGCTATGAAAAACCATCAGCCAACATCATATTGAATGGCCAAAAACTGAAAACCTTCATATTAAAATCAGGAACAAGACAAGGATGCCCATTATCACCACTTCTCTTCAATATAGTTCTGGAAACATTAGCCACAGCAATTAGACAAGAGAAAGAAATTAAAGCAATAAAGATAGGAAAGGAAGAAGTTAAACTATCA